AAGCCACGCGAACCGGCGGTACGTGATCCGCCAGGCTCGAGCGTAGGAAAAAGACAACCACAAAAAACGTCCTTGGCACGGGAGCCGTGGACGCCGGCCGGCGTGTGGACGCCGTGGAGGGGGAACGACTCATCGCGAACATTCCGCGCCGAACATGAGACTTGTAAAGCCTTTGGACTTTGGTAGATTCGGCGGGAAGTTCAGCCGTGTTCGAACAAATATAATGTCATACGCCGGCTGCCGAAGGCATAGCCATGGCTTGTATATGACTGGGTTGTGGACGCGGTGGGTCCCCCCCCTGTCGTCGTAGTCGTAGTCGTCGGAAATATAAATGTACATTTATATTTCGGGCAAGCACCAAGCTCGATTTTTCACGCGTATACATATATATATCATTTTTATTTTAATATAAAAACTGGATGTTAATATAAATTTCATTTAGTATGTTTCCTAACGGCGGAGTAACATGGTTCGGTAGTGATTTTACTGGTCCCGGTAATCGTGTTTCTGACGTTAATAATTTTTTTAATGCAAATAATTTACCACAGAGTAAACAGGATTGGATAACATTAGAACACGACGTTGAATATCATAATTTGTCAACTCAAAAAGATATAGATATTAACGACGTTCGAAAATCCGATATCAAAGCTATAATAAATAGTGACAACACCTGGACACATGACAATTGGCTTGGTGACGTTGCTACTCAAGTTGGATTGGTATTAAAAAGAACATTTGAAGATAGTATACATTTGAACATATACCCACAACCAGTTGACGGAAAGACACCGATAGATTGGTTCACAAAAAAGCTGTCCCGCAAAAAAGGTACGTAAAATGTCTTTTCGATACCAAGGTCCTCCTCCACCAGAAAGACCTAATTGGAATTCTTTAAATTCCAGTCAAAAACAATATGCCATTAGGCAATATAATATTGGCCGTTCACGTCGTAATTTACCTTTGTACATTTTGGGTGGAGGAGTCGACACTTCGATCGCATCCGACGACACAATACCTAGTCCGCCGTTAGACGGTTCAACGACAACAGAAGAAAACGAAGAGGACATAAGCGATTCGTATTCGTCTTTTTCGCAATCGACAAATTTTTCAACGTCAACCGAGCAAGATAACATGTCCAATGTTTCCGCGGGTGCCAAACGTGGAGCCGATAGTTCATCAGTGTGCGCAGCGAAGAAATTCAAATCGGGTACGTCGTTTCCTGGTACGGGGGATGATTCAGCTATGGACGCAGATACTGGGTATCCTAGTACTGAAAACGCTGTTATACCTAGGCCGATTAATAACCAAGGAGGATGTCGATTGGTATTTAGAAAAAATCATACATTTATATCATATGGATTGGCCTGGGTTCCTATTAAACACCCTAACGACAATAACTGCGTTTTTGGAACTACTTCTTTAATGAATTTACCCGTAGACAAACCTTATTTTTATCTTAACCATTCAGAATTTAAAATGTTACCACGCGGTACGTACGTAAAAAATTTAACCGTACGTATTGTCATGCGTAATCCAAGAACAGCTTTCGAAACAAACGCAAGTACAACGACGTTGGCCACGTTAAATCAAAATAAATTCGCATGTATAGCGTTGTCATTAAATAAACATACAAGAGGATTAAATAAAAAATTAAATTTTTCGTCACAAAAATCCGGTATGATACCAGTTGGCGCAGCTACAATTGACGAATCGTTTCACACAGAAATATCAAAATATATGTACGGATCGACGAATAACGCACCAGATACGGAAATTATACCTGCATCGTATTGTAATATGCCAATTTTTAATAATAATTATTATTGCATGGTTGCCAGTAAAGCATTAAACGGATCAGTGGGCTGGCCGAAAATAAATGAATTTATAACTAAATTGGACGCCAGTTCGGTCATCGGCAAAACAATATATAATTATAATTATACACCGAAAATCTCATATTTAACGGCACCATGGACAAACAAGTTCAACGGTCTGTTCAACAACGGTGATCCTGCCATCAAGTCCTTCGGTTTGACTACAATGCAACAAGGAGCTATAAATCGTATTTCTATTTTGCAAATGGATAAAAATACAGAAAAACATACTTCGTCGGAACTCGCCGAATTAAATCCTAAAAATTTTAATCGTATGTTTAAAAATTTAAACAGATATTATGCGCTTATTGAAATGTCGCAATAATATACGCAACATGGCCTGGATTCGACACAAGGCGATACAATGCAACCTAGTATACATATAGGTATATATCCGGTTCACAAAATGACGACTACCACTAATAGTGTAATACCTCAAGATTATACTGATGTAGAATGTACGTGGGACATTTTTACGGAAATGGAAGTAGCATTAATTGGATTTCCAAATCACTTTACGCATTTCGATGAACCACACGTTTTACCAGAAAATACGTTGTACACGTTTAATTCCACAGACGATTATTATTTCCACGAAAATTTATCGTCTTACGATAATAGATACGTCACTCCTATCAACACGACAGTAACAACGGGGTCAACAGAGTCAACCTCACGTAGCCGTAACACATAATTTATAATATATACATAAAAAAAATAATGTAAAGCAAACATGATATCAATTTAAATATGTTTATTATATTATGAATGTGAAATAAATTGGTATCAAAGTACATATTGTTGTTTGTTATATATATATATAATAAAAAATAATAATAAAAAAAAATATGTTTATACAATTATAATATTAGACTCTATTACTTTCCACATCGTTAGTAATTTAAAAAAAAACAATGGATTTAATTTTTTATCGTATTGTTTTAAAAACGGCGCCGCTTGCCACTTAAAAGTACGCAATCGGTCGGCAAATAATGGATCATTACATATTGATAAATAATTATTAGTAAGTAAAATAATAGGTGGACCTTGCAGTGGTTGATCGTTTTTATATTTAACATGTACTCTCGTAGTATCACCCCCCAGTAATTCTTTCATTTTTTCCAAATGATGTTGTTCGTAATTTGGTTCGTTCCAAATTACGATTCTTTTACCCGCGCCGTCAGCCCAATTAAAATTATTATTTTTGTTAGCAGTGCCGAACATACCGTAATTAATGAAATATGACGCCACTGCGTCAAAAAAATAATTTTTACCAGCGGAAGGAGGACTATGAATGCATATAGAATTGAGTTTCGGATTTTTTTTGTCAACAACATTATAAAGCAATTGTAAAAAATTAAATACATCTGTTTTATCGTTGTTAAATTGATACAATAATAATTCGTTAGCTATGATTAATGATTTTTCAACTGTAAAATAAATATTTGTTGAACTACGAGCGTATCCGTTAAAATATGGCGTGACCCCAGTGGTATGATAATAAGTGTTAAAATCAAACATATCCCAATCCCGTAATATTATACACCAATTACGTAAAGCTAAGCGTACACACCTATCATTTTCGTCTAATTTGTTCAAAATTGGATTTAATACAAATTCTTTTATATTAGGAAAAGCGTCGGGGGGACATGTTGGATAATATTTTAATAGATCTTCAATGGTTACTGGAAACTGTTGTTGCCCACCGATTCCGTTTTGCGATTTGGCTGTTTGGAGACGTCCTCCAATATACCCCCGGCTACCCTCATTGCCTCTGCGTAATGTGGACTTTCTCCCGAAAACGTCCCAAGCGCCCGAGTCGTAGCAAATTTCCACCAATCCTTCTTTGCTTGGTGCGATATTTTACCTGTCGTTGATTTTCCCGGTTAGAATCCATACTGGTTGTCCGTCTGTTGCCCGGTTTCTCCCAGATGCATGCGAAGTCTGTGTACAATTAGTTTCTCAAACAATTGTCTGAAAATACATAATAGCGGAGAGAGAAACATCTGTCCGATAAAAATTTGAATAAAATTTATTTCGATTAAAAATTATAATATCGTTAAATTCTAATAATAAGTATTTACAGTAGTAATAATAATAATTTTAAATAAAATACATATATTCAATTTAAATATAATTATATCTAGACATTCAGTGACAAATTATATGCTATACCTATTATGAAGTTCTTATTCTCATTAGTATTATAATTTGTAACGAATGCATGAATTCTTTTATTACAGTCCTTGTACTTTTTTTTTTCTGTGGTTGTTCTCCAGCATTATACTGCTCTAATTTTAAGTTTCGTTATTATGCATGATCGCTTATTTTAAAATTCGCTGTTTTTATTTACGCTATTATCAATTCGCGATTTTTACATTCGCAGTAAATTGTTTCGCTATTTTGGCCTAGACCCGTGGATGGGGCATTAAAAGTGACTAAAGTTAGTATTCATCTCAATTAAAAAATTTAATTTCTGTCCTATTAGTTTGTGGTCACATAATTTTGGCATAATATTAGAATAAATACAGAGCATATCCTTCACTACATTTATAAATTCTAAAGATGGATCTGTCAAGTTTTTTAATGTTTATGCTCTTCAGTTAATTAATGGGTTAGTCCTCTTATCACAAATCAATATTTCTTTACAAATCCTACACTTTTTTACAATTTTAATAATGGAACGAGCTAAGTATACCGTTACATACCCTATTGTCATATCGCCGATATAGGTAGTCGAATTAGAAATATTATGTTGAAATATTGGTAATGTGAATTCACTTTCATTTTTATAGTAATTGTTGATAGGTTTAACGTTATCATCAATCACTAAAAATTGTTTTAAATTATCTACGACATTCCCTGTTCCATTAACTTCACAATTTCCAGTTGACTTAATTGATGAAAAATTATTTATCAATAAAGTTTTAAAGGAACCAACAAATTGAATTTTTGTTGGATTGGTATTTCTAACTCCGTGACTTCTTATTGCTCCAAAATGAGCTTCAAGGTAATCTTGATTGATATTTCTTAGTGACAAAAATTTAAATGTTGTGTTTACTTTACCCCAAATGTATTTTAAAGATTGTAAAGTAATGACCCAGTTTTTAACACATGGGGGAGTACTTCTTTTGCCATCTTTTGTCACAAACTTCAAAGAATTGAAAACATTTATAGCTTCGTTCCAAAATGTAATATGGTTAGAGGAATTGGTTATTGCACATCGTAGAAGTTTTCCCTTTTCTGGTTTTACACTGGACCCATTTACCGAATCAAAAACCTGGTCCACGAAGTGTAAAAACTCTGATGTTCCCTTTGCATCACTTAAAATATTATTTGGAGCTGAAAAAATATGAGTACCTTATGAATTAATTGATACTAAATAATTTAAAATAATAAGCTAAACAATTTTTCATACCATAATTTACCAGAAGTTTTAATGTTGATGCAACACGTTGACTAAATACTTGTGCTGCGATAGAAACTTTCATTTTTTTCATTTTATCAACATATATGTGCTCATCTCTTAATTAATTATGGTGGTATCAATAAACAATTACGTCTTATCTGTCTTAAATCGTGACTATAAATGATAATTATAGTGATGGTGTGGGACAGGGACAAGGGTATATAACCATTTGTTATATTCTGTGATATAACTATGCGAACTACGAAGACCGAGCGAAGAGAGGTCTGAGTACAAAAAAAAAAGTGGGGCATTATCGAAACTTTATGATGATATAATCGAAACTCTTCATATTTAGACGCGGCAACACTGACCGGTGCTGACTACCAAGCCGATCACACGCATTTATGTACCACTGTCCTCTCCCAAGCACTTTTTTGTTTTCGACGAAAAACCCGCGCCGATCCGAGTCTTTGATATGACACATTTTTATGGTTATTAAGACATTATACAAAAGTTCTTTGCTAAAGTAATATTACCCGGTTAATGTTAACATTAGCCAAAATCCATGGCGGCTTATGATGACAGTTGGCTAATGTCGACTTTAGCTGGATAATGTTGACATTATCCAAATGTTAACATAACCCGTAACATATATACTTATTACACAATGAAATTTCCAACATTTTTTTCTAATCATAGATAAATTTATACTTTCGGTTTGGTCTATATTGTTGGCATACTGTATCGTCGAATTTAACGATTCTTCGGATTGATGGAACGGGCACCTAGCTTGTTGGGTTTCATCTATTGGTAGTTCATTGTCGATTCTTCTGATCCTTCTGGGTGGCGAAAGTAATTGTATATTTTTTATAGGTTCTCATCGACGTTTAGGGAGATCCACATTTGATAAAGGGTTTTCAGGAAAATTAAATCTTTCATAAACATTGTCTATCTCTCGCAATGTTTGTTCACGTGGATCGAATAGTTGTTTGATCTTTTTTTCCTCCCATTTAGTTTAATATTGTATGGAAATGAATCATTTTCTGGTAACGTAAATGGTATCGTCGAATTTAACGATTCTTCGGATTGATGGAACGGGCACCTAGCTTGTTGGGTTTCATCTATTGGTTGTTCATTGTCGATTCTTCTGATCCTTCTGGGTAGTGAAAGTAACTGCATATTTTCTATAGGTTCTCATCGACGTTTAGGGAGATCCACATTTGATAAAGGGTTTTCTGGAAAATTAAATCTTTCATAAACATTGTCGATCTCTCGCAATGTTTGTTCATGTGGGTCGAATACTCGAATAGTTGTTTGATCTTTTTTCCTCCCACTTCGTTTAATATTGTATGGAAATGAATCATTTTCTGGTAACGTAAATGGTTTTTCAAGAACTCTACCACCAACAATTAACTATTAAAAAAAAAATAATACTGTAAAACGTTTCCTAGATTTTCTTGTATTTTCTGCTGTTGTTTTTATTTTAACCTCGGTTCCAAATACAAATGTTTCTTTTTCTTCCAACGAAGCGTTCCAAAAATGATCAAAAATATTTTGCCTTTGTTCCTCAGTGAAAGGAAAACAAAATCGATTTTTAGATTTTAAGCAAACATTAGATGAGCAAGTATCCAATAAAGAACGTCTAGACCTAGATATATCTTGTTGTACAACATTTCCTATACGACTGAACACTATATATGCCTCTCCTTTCATTCTTAATTTTTTATTTGTTTCTCTTTTCCATTTAGTACTGTCTGGGTATACATTTCGTTTTCTTTTAATTTTACATGAATTGGAATTAATTTCTGCACAATTATCTAAAATACTATTTTCTTGAACACCAGAAAAATCATTAGTAATAAGTTCATTGATATTAATTTCTAAATCATTAAGACTAATTAATTCACTTTCTTATAATAATGTATTGTCAGAACTCTTGTTTTCAATATTTTTATTATTATTTTTTACAGTAGTTACTTCTAAAGGTATGTAATTATCTTTAAATACAACTTCAGCAGAATTTATCAAATCTTGAAAACTAATAGGCTGAGAGTCTTTTAAACTTTCATTATTGTTCACTTAACTGCAAGATTAACTAATTTTTAATACTTGATTTTGATGTCCTCTTTTATAGTTAGGTATATTTAAAATAAAAAAACAGACACTAATTACTAATATTATTATAGAAAAATAATTTAATAATAATTTAAAAAAAAATTTTTTACTTTATTATAAGATAGGTACAACAACACGTAACTGTAAATCTAATTGTTTATTTTATTTTG